TAAGACTCTAATAGTTTGAGAGTTATTCGCGGGATGTCCGTTCCTCGCTTTGCCAAATGTTTAACACTGGCTTCGCGAGATGTTTATTCCTCGTCTTTCACTACCATCGAGCTTAGCTGTAAGACCTCGTTTGTCCGAGGCCGCTTATAAGACTGCGATAGTGTTAGAGTTACTCGTAGGATGTTCACTACCCCTTCGCCAGATGTTTATCTCTAGCTTCACGAGATGTTTATTCCTCGTCTTTCACTACCGTTGAGCTTAGCTGTAAGACCTCATCTGTTCGAGATCGCTTATAAGACTCCGATAGTTTAAGAGTTATTCGAGGGATGTCTATTCCCCGCCTCTCATTATCGTTGAGTTTAGCTGTAAGACCTCGTCTGTCCGAGGTCACTTATAAGACTCCGATAGTTTGACAGTTATTTGCGAGATGTCCATTTATCACCTCGTCAAGTACTTAGTCCTAACTTCGCAAGATGATTATCTCGTGCTCTTCACTACTTGCCTATATCTTTTCCATTGTTTCAAATGTGGAGTAAATCGTCATGATTAATTGAGATTAAAATAGTAGCTTATGCGTACATCTCAAAATAAATATTATGGATATTTAAGAGGCACCAATCAGACAACATACATTACATGATCTATGTTTTAATCCTTGAAAAGCATATATTTTGGTGTTATCAATGCTCATGCTTATGCTATGATTATATGGTTATAAATTACAATAACTTTTGGTTCACACTCATTAAGGGCTCGATCCAAAGCCTTGCCCCGCGCAAGCATCTAAGTCTTGTCTCGCGCAAGCACCATCTAAGCCTTGTCCCACGCAAGCACTACCTAAGCCTGGCCCCATGCAAGCACCTAAGCCTTGCCTCAAGCAAGCACTTAGGCATTGCCCCGCGCTAGCATCTAATCCTTATCCCGCACAAGCACTATCTAATCTTTGTCTTGTCAGCCTCTACATCGTTATCAGTATAGCTATTCAGTTCAGAGTCAATCTCTACATCCGTATCAATACATCTGTTTATGTTCAGTTCAAAGTCTGCCTCTGCATCCGTATTAGTACAACTGTTCAGTTCAGAGTCAGCATCTGCATCTGCATCTGCATCCGTATTAGTACAGCCGTTCAGTTTAGAGTGGGCCTCTACATCCATATTAGTACAGTTGCTCAATTCCAAGTCGGCCTCTGCATTAGTATCAGTATAGTTACTTATATTTAGAGCATCCTTCTACAACTAATGTCTAGAGCATCGCCTCTGCAACTTATGTCCAGAACATTGCTTCAGCTGCTTATATCTACAATCTCATATTTATATTAGCTTCATCACAGTGGCTTATACGTCAAGTCCGACCCATATATAGATATACAACTCAATCTTGGGGCGACTATTGTGGTAATACATCTTAGTGTCACTACATATCACTGCTAGCTTATGCATTATATTATTGCTTCCAAACACGAATGTCATATAACTGCTAGCATGTCAATTCATTATTTTCATTACAGACAGTACGTATGACATGTTATCATCATTTTTATTTTATTATCGACATCATGCCACTAGTTTCACTATAGCATTACTAATATTCTGAGCTGTGTGAGCATATAATTTATTTGATGCATGGCAGTCCCTTTGCGCATATCATGGAGAAATGTGATATGTCATTAACCTTATAGTTATCTTATAGTTATAAGCATTTGGAAGGGCAAATGGACCCCAAACTTATTTGGTATATGTGCTGTGGATATATTGTATTGTATTATAGGATTGGTTTTGTCCATATTACAGAGGAGATGCTGCTAAAATACTGATAAAATATATGTAGTATCTATCTTTTGAGGCAATTCGTAAGTCCTCGCTTATTTGGGCTCGCACAAATATTTTCTGAGGCAGTTCGTAAGTCCTCACTTATCGGAGCAACTTATATTCTCAAGGCAATTCGTAAGTCCTCATTTATTTGATATCGATGCATATTTTCAAGGCAATTTGTAAGTCCTCGCTTATTAGAACTACCCATATTTTTGAGGCAATCTATAAGACCTCGCTTATTTGACAGCTTATATCTCGAAGTCCGACTCGCACATTGATATACGACTCAGACTTGGGGACTATTGTTATATTTATAATTACGTGGCATACGCATTACGGAGGAGGTCCCACTTTAGCCGACAGGACATTGCTTATTTGACAGTTCATATTTCAAGTCCGACTCGCATATAAATATATGACTCAGACTTGGGGGACTATTGTTATACATAAAATTATTTCACATTGGGCCTTTCTTTTGGACTTGGCTCAGACTCGGCCCACGACCCGCTTGGCCCATTTCATTTAATTTCTCTATATATACGAGCTTCACTTCACAATTAAGGTAAGCATTCTAAACTCGAACTAAACCCCCTTTCCCATCTCTTGCACTCTTTTTTTTTTCATCCAGCTGTTGACTTGACGTCGGAGTGCAAACAGTTCTCGAATCTTTTTCTCGACTGGCGCCCTTTGCGCCTCTAACAAGGTGTTCTATGTGCAGGTGTAGAGGGGATGAGGTCGGAATTCTGTTGGCAACATTTTTTGGGGGCTACAAATGATAAAAATGACTTTTGACCCTTTGCACTAGGGTTGGACAAAATTTCCGAATCCAACCGAACCGAACCTGAGAGTTCTTCTCAATTTAAATACCCGAATGGGTATTTGAATCGAAAATCGACGAGTATGGTTCAATTCTCGGTTCTAGGTTAAGATCCGAAGAACCGAATCTCTCTAATTTTTTTAATTAATTTATTTTAAATAAGCAAAATTATTTTATTTTTTCTAAATAAATTTGTTAACTAGTTTATTTAGTTCAAACAAAAAAATATGATTTTCCTATTTCTAATTTTCAGTTCAAAGTCAACTTAATCAAATTGACTTCAATTTTATCCAAATTTGTTACTCTACCGTAGTGTCGTTTTTATTGAAGAAATTTGAATTAAAGTTCTACAACGTCTCTCTTAATTATTTTGAACTCGCTATCTTTTTCTTCCTGTGATTTTAATAATCTAATTTATAAAAAACTCAGCAAAGAGAGACGTAAAAGACACATTAGATTGGACTACGTTATTTTGTAAGAGTTAAGATTGAACATATCATTAATTAAATTAATGTAACTTTGTATATATTAAAAAATTTAATTATAATACGGAACCGAATGAAACCGAACCGTTCACAGTTCCATAATTAAATTTGGACCCGACGGTTCCACTTACTAAATATCCGAAAATTTTGGATCGACTCGGTTCTCGTTAGAATCGAATCGAATCGGACCATGTCCAGCCCTACTTTGCACCAACATTGTGTAAAGTTTGGTGTTGCATTAGAGTTTTTTTGCACTAATTTTTGGTGTTTTGGGAAGAGCATTGGAGATGGCCTGAGATGTATCAAAACCAAACTCCTATACTCTCTTTATTTGTATTTATCTCACACTCAAATATAGTATGTCATTTGAATTGTGCATCAGAGAGCATACAACTGTTGCACCTCTCCTCTGGAGTGACATATATGCCTTCTAATCAAGACCGGCTTTCGCCCAAGGTAAACTAGACCATTGCCTTGGGCCTCATAATTTTGAGGACCTCTCCAAAAAAAAATGAAAAAAAGAAAGAAAAGGTGCCTCAAAAAGCTATCTCCAATTTTAGATTTTTTGATGATCTTTCCAAATAATATAGATTTCTGGCATCATTAAAACATATTTTAGATTTTTTACTTGATACTGATATAGAAACTTTTTCAAAACAAATTTGACCTTACTGCGAGGAAAGAAGATTTTGGCATCATTAAATTATTTTACTTTTGCATTTTTGTTAAATAAGAAATATACCACTTTGACAAAGGAAATCAAAATTAGGAACAATTTCCTTTCAGTCACAAAATTGCACCTATTATCTTACTTCACGGTACACAAAATGAGAAGAGATAAATTTTTTTATATATTCTCTATGTTAGTAAGAAATATTTAATTTAATAAATGAATTTTACATTTGCGTTCTTATATTTAATTCCTCAATGAACATTTGATAACTCAAATGTGTGTACCAATTTCTTTTGCATCTCAAAATGTGAGAATGTTAAATATTCTACTAGTAAAATCTCTCGAGTTGTGAGAAGGGATTTACGTTGCTATTCTATCTCTTGAATTGCATGGAATCTTCAATTTAATATAGAAATATTATTTGGTTAAATATTTAAGCAGTGTTACGATCATTATGAGGGCATCAGAAAAAAATTAATCACCTAAACCTCCAAATTTTCAGGGCCGGCCTGTTTCTAATGCAAATATCCAAATGTGCAGATAACATACCTATGAACGAGAGATGTGGTTGAAAAAACATGCATATTAATGAGAGAGAAGTTGAAATCTGTTGACACCCAGATCCCACCAAATTCAGAAGTCAACAATAAGTATTATTTTATCCTATTCAATTCAAGTAATGGATACTCAATTAATTTTATAAATTTTACATAGTAGTGGCTTATTCATGGAGTACTCCAGAGGAATAGAAAAGATTGAGTATGGCAATTTGTGTGGGATTAATCGAGAACCAGATACATCGAAAGAGGTATCGCTGCTCCTGTGTGGCAACCAATGGTTCCATGGCTTTGATGAACTAGTTTAATCCAGACATAAATACTAGACCTTTCTACCTCAAATAAGTGAATACGTCAATGATATGTTTTTGGTTACATTAATGAACACTGAGACGAAGCTATAGACTCGCGACATTCAGTCATTAATGTACACAATCTCCTTCAAGTATGAATCAAAAAGTGATCATGAGTAAGCCAGATACTTGATATCCGGTGACAACAAATAAGAATATGGCATATGAAGTGTAATTGTTTAATTTATGACTTTACTCTCCTACTTTAAGAGGGACAAGTCAATTCTGTGATTAATAAAATAATACTAGCCTGGTTTATTTATAAATAAATAAAATCTGGAGACCCTGAGGGCCAGACACGAGCTTAACTGCATAAGCAAAACTCCATTCAAGTTTACTAGCATTCCATTTCTCATAGAAAATATCAAACCCTTAACATTGACCCCAAACAGGATAGTAACGATAGTTTGGTTTACCAAATACTCCCTGCCAGCATATGAAAATCAAGTCATATTACAACTTAACCAGACCACAATCTTAAACCTAAACAGGAAATTAAATGGACAGCAAAATGCTCAAAACTAGAATCAACCCTAAAAATCCTGGGGTAATGCCTTTGCACCCTGATTGTTCTACTCTCACATCATCTACTACAGGACCACATAAAGAGCTCATGTCATCAGTTCTTGTGCTGTAATAAACACTGTAGAATGCGACTCGTGTTCTCTGGGCCTTGGCTGTGAAGTTAAGATTAGCTGTCTGAAATGTAGAGTTGGAATCTGGAGTGTAATGGATGTTTTGGGCTTGATCACCAGCAAAGGCCATGATGGCTAGTGGTCGCTTGCAGGAGTCTCCGGCATGGCCTAATGAAAACGTCAATCTGTAAGGTTTATTAGGCTTGGTTTCGACCATTTGTGAGATAATTCCTTCCTTTCCAGAAAGCAATTCAACAGCTCGTTTGCTTCCCGGGACAGAGAAGTGGTATGAGTCAATGTAGCGGATGGCTCTGTTTGATTCAACTATCCAACCAGGCAATGAGGACCTCTCCTCATCCAGATTGGTGGGAAGTAAAACACCAAGTGAAGCATTTCTGAACATCCAAGGGCCTTCTTCGAAATCACCATTAACAACTGCATTATCTGATTATGTTGAAAACATAACAACTGATTAGCAAGCTAAAATTATTAATGAACTTTTGAGGAAAAACAAAGGAGATCATATGCTTAACTTTCGAATGATAGGTGCTCTCAATGAAGAAAATCATGGCAGAATGAATAACTATTGTACAGTTCATGCTTATTGATCCTCATCGCACACACTTAAGTTTTTGGCTTAAGCAAATGGTATTTAAAAATCTTAGGAGATTATTGTCTGTTCGACAATAAGAGGGAACTGAACTTTCAGGAAAAGGACTTTCTGATCGCACACACCTAAGTTTTTGGCTTAAACAAATGGCATTTAAAAATCTTAGGAGATTATTGTCTGTTCGAAAATAAGAGGGAACTGAACTTTGAGGAAAAGGACTTTCTTTTCAAGAGTGAAAAAAGAACTACTTCAAACAATTATATAAAAATTTGACAGTAATCAATCGTCTAGCTGATGTATAAGGTTTTAAAGGTTTTTTCTTCTTTCTTTTGTGGGTTAATGGAGAAATTTATCACATGAAACCCTACTGTAATTTTGTTGGTGGAGCACATTTGGCTAAGCTTAAGGAAAAAGCAAAACTCCTGTTTCAGTAGCTTTTTTCCAAACAGCGTGAACGTGTAAATTTACTTTTCAACTTAGATCAACAAAAGTAGTTTATTTTAAAAGTTACTTTGTTTCCTCAGAAGTAAATTAAGCAAACTTTTTAAGCTTAGGCAAACATGCTCTTAGCACACAAGCATCCAATGCTTCCAATATCCATAGTGTCGTCAATGGCAAAGAATGGGGGGCCTCATATATATCTTTTCCCTCTTCTATTAGTTCAACATCATAGCAAACATGATTTGATTGAAGGATGAATGGTAAAAAGTAAAGAACTGTATTTTAAAGTTCAAAAAACATACAGAACTCTAACCTTTAGCGTTATCGGGTACGAAAAGCTTCTTTATAGCGATATTGTCAATGATGGGTCCACAAGTGGGATCATCCTCCATACCAGGATTTCTAAACACCACCCACACATTATCCTCCTCTGCCTGAAAGGCCCACGCGTATGAATCCCAGCCCTGAATGCTGTAAAGAGTCTGCAAATCAATGTTTTGCGACACCGGCGGGACCGAAACGTTAAGCGACTCTAATTGGGCGCAAGTTCGAGCTGCGCTGAATGTGATCGAGTACAGCGAACCTTTTTCGACGGCGATTTCTTGGCTAATTTCGGCGTCGTTACCGAGCCGCACAGCATGTGCACCCTGCGGTACGATGAGGATCATTCCGCCCTGTTTTTGGCCTGATTCGACTAGTTCGACTGTGCCGTTGGATTTCCAGCTGGGGATTGTTGCCACGCCCTCGGAAAGTAAGGCTTCTGAAGAGAATCCTCTTGGTGGAGTGGCCTCGAAATCGCCATTGGGAAGTAAGCCTGCAAAAATGTTACGCGATGGTGATGAATATGAGGGAAATTAATCAATGTTTCAAAAAATGGTGAAAAGTAAAAAGTAAAATTATGAGCATTGTTTAAAAGTAAAATTAATTATTTTTTTCAACTTCAATAGTTTACAAAATTATTTATTTACTCATAAATAATCGTTTTAAGCTTAACCAATCCAACAATGAGGTACAAGAACTCAATTAAAATTTTATAGTCACCATCTTCAAAACACATTGTAAATCATCAACACACACTGCGTAAGCCTAATTTATTGATCTATAAGTTTTTTTCCCCTCATTTAGATGGCAACACAAACTGGTTTATGCATGTTTTGCGAACCTATATAATCAAGCATGACATTGCTCGACTATAGAAAAGGGTTAGTGGACGATACAATCTATGCTCACAGTGTTTTTCCCGTGCCAAATCTAAGCAACCTTTTACATTTTAACACCATTAGATAAATTCTACATATTATTTAGAAGTGAACTATGTTTATTTTTACCAAAAAGAAAAATTTAATAATAATAAAGAAATGGGGCAAATCCTAGAGAACCCATAAAATTTTCATGAACACCCACTTGAAAATTTGTCACATGAAGTCCTCATTTGGTAATAATTTTTCACCCAAAAAAATTAATTTTTTGACAATTATATTCAACCATTATTTTTTATTTTTTCACTTACAGGTGAGATCAACTCTTCGCTCTTACGATCAGAAAATCAATTTTCATAATCACTATCGAATATGTCCGAAATGAAGTCCTCATTTGCCTCTATTAAAATTATAATTTATTTTTTATTTATGCATTCTTAAAAATATATTGTTTTAAAAATTATAATTTCAAATAATGGTAGCTACATTCATGACTAGACGAGAAGCAATGGGCCAAAAAGACAAGTTGGCCCCCATCCCAACACAACTTTAGGCAAGTTCAAGAAGCCGCGTTGAACTACTGTGGTAATATTGACCTATGAGAAAAGAGACAAAATCATTTTCCAAAGGAATTTACACGCACAACAATTTTTTATTTTATCTTGAAAAGAATAAAAATGGGCGTTCAAAGGAATACTTAGCCCTGTTTGAGCCACATTAATGTAAAAATGGAAATGAAAAATATTCGTTCGAAAAATATTCGTAGCGAATCTCACACAAAAGTTAAAAAGTAAAATATGACGACTTAATTGATAAATAACGATTATATTTTTCAATTTAAAGAGCAAATAAAGAAAAACAAACTGGAGCTTAATCTATGTTTGACGTCCATTGTATATCCAATTTTTAGAAAAATTATAGACGTTACACAGTGAATGTGTCAGGGTAAGGCAAAAAACTTTTTGGCTTGTTGAAGTAAAATTACCAATTTGCCCCTACACATAAATTCATTCTATTTGAAGTAATGACAATTTGGTAATTTGATCCCACTACAATCAATCTTTTTGCAAAGTTGGGTCCAACTGACAAACACAAACGGTCATATTTTGTATTAAAATTTGGGAAAAATAGCTACGAAACACACCCTTAATGACTAGTGGGCCAATAAAGTTGAATAAATGAAAACTACCATCATTTCTACTGCACCGCAATCAAGGTCTATAAATAAGAAAATGATTTGGATAGTTGTACACGGGCGGCTGTACACTACCCTCACATGAGGGGGAGTGTCCACGGCCAATAATCCATAAAGGACTTTATTATATATGCATCAACTTTTTACATAATGGATTATATAATGTTATATGTCATTTTATCATTTGTCAATTTAAAATATAATCAATTTTTTCATCTAATATTTTCCTTTCACATCATTTTATGTAATTTCTTATATACAAATTTTATATACAAATAGCATAATTCATAAAAAACGTGTGACCTCCTTTTGTGAGGGGAGTGTACATAAACATGCCAACACCCATATACATATAGCATGCTCAATAAGAAACTCCATTAAAGGCCTTGTTGAAATTTGAAAATCAATGCTTACCGTGGAAGACCAATTTATTTAGGGATGGATGCTGGAATTGAATTTCTTGAGTCGAAATCGGAGATTTTTGTTTGTTCCAGAAATTTCGGAGGGTTCTTGATTTTTTGAATCGAAATTGTGGATATCCAAATCTAGAATCGAATTTATCACTTTTCATAATTTTTTTTATTTTTAATAATTTATTCATGCCGATTCAATGAACCGTCCAAGAAATAGCAAGTTTGTAAAACCAAAATAATAATAATAATAATAATAATAATATTTATTAGTATAGAAATAAATATATATTTGATGGCATATCTTATTTCTTTTATTTCAACTAGATATTGTATTGACATCTCACAAATTTATTTTATTTTTTTAAAAATGTTATAAGTAGAAATGAACCGAAACAAGAATTGATAGTTAGGGTTCAATTCCAAAAATTACATAGACTCAAATGATTTCATTTATAAAATACTCAAAATGTTGATACTCAGGTCAACCCAATGTCCAGACCTATTTAACTCCAACTTCATTACTTAGCCTCTGAGCTCTATTATTTCGAATTATAATATAAAGAATAGTAACTTTTTGAAAAATACGTGACAAATAAGAAAATAAAAATTTTTAGATTTACATGTAACATTATTTTACTAAAAAATATATAATAATAAGAAAAGAGAGAGAAAAAAAGAATTTTAATTTAACAAGGACAGACAGGGTTTTAGTGAATATGGAAAAGATTGGAATAACTCGAGATTTAGTCTCCATTTTTTAGAAATGAAAATGGGTGGAATAATATTTTTTTTAAAAATGAGTGGAAGAAAAAAAAGAATTTTTTTTCGATTTAAGTGTAATATTATTTTATAAAAAATTGTGTGGTTGAAAATATAATAGAAAAAAATGGAAGTTGAACATAGATCCATCAATATGATTCAATTACAACATAATGTTGACCAAGTTGAACAATTCATTTGCTAGGAAGTAAAATCTAAATTTTAATCTAAATCTAAGTTAACTATTAATTTTAGTCACATATTTTATATGATTCATAGATTTAGACCTCATATTTCATCATCTTTTATCAAAATTTACTAAAAATTTGATTTTAATTCCGATGTACAAAAGCTAAACTTCAAATTTTTAACTTATAATCACCTAGCAATGCTTATTAACAGATTTATGGCATGCCTAAGGCACACCATTGTAATAAGCAGACATGTAATTGGCAAGTTTTTAATTTATTTTATTCGCTAACTAAATAAGGTGTAAATTCATTAGAATTGAAACTAGTGGAGTGACTGTTAAGTTTCTCGGATCTCAAATACAGTGAAGAATGCGTAATAATTACTCTCAAATTTAGGAGCAGAAGTGTTCTAAAATCTATGTAAGCTTAATTAAAGTTGAAATGGAAAATAAGGAGAGAGAGAGAGAGAGAACATACCGTCTTCAACCAATGCGGTAGCTGATTGCGTCAGTAGAAGCAGAACAAATACAGGGAACCATTTGCATCTTGTTGAGCTCAAAACCATCTTCAATGCCGAAACTTCTCTCTCTCTCGCTGCGGGTGAGTGTGCGCGCGCGCGCGTGTGAAAGCAGTGAAAACAGAAGATCAGACTGAGATTAGTCGCAGAGAATGAGAGAGATAGAGGGAAAAGACACTGCAAGCGTCCTTTTATCCAAGATTCCTGCTGGCTGCTACTATTTGTTATTTTAACTCTTTCTTGCTTCAATCAATTATCCAAATTTACTGTTCTGCTTATTTGCTTTTATTATTACACGGGTGTCCTCATTTATTATTGAGCAAATACCTAAGAGCTTCAGCAGGGGAGCCCGGCTGTCTCACTTTCGACCCCCCTATATATTGTTCTAAAATGCATTTTTTTTCATAAAAATTGGAATCAAACACCCTTTAAGTTACATTTCATTTTTCTTTTTTATATTTCTAACTACACAATTTTTTATAAAATAATATTACGCATAAATCGAAATTTGTTCTTCTTTTTCAACCACTCATTTTTTAAGAAAAACGTCATTCCATCCATTTTCATTTCCAAAAAATGAGGGCCAAATGAGTGTTATAATCCTTGTTTTGTAAAAATTTATCAAACTTTTAAGAGTTGTACTCGGTATACATAATTTGTGTATATAAGATTATCCACACTCCACTTGAGGTGGGACCCATGTGAGGCGGGAGCCACCCAAGGGGTGTACATGTTTTATGTACACCAAAACTTATCTAACCTTTAAACTTGTTTATTTCATTAACTTTTATTAAAATTTGATAAAAATTTTATCAAACAAACCCTTAATGTTTTCTTCAATTTGACACTAGTGTCTTAACCAATGACGAATCAGAGTTTTACCTTTATATTTAAATGTCGGATAAAATAGGACTTCAACTCTATTAAGAGAAACTAAACTAGAACTAGGTTCAAAAGGCTAAGCCCTTGTTCAGACTTCATTTTATTCAAAATACATTTTTCTTTCTCATTTTTTTAATCATTCATTTTCAATAAAATAATATTATATGTAAATCCAAAATTTTTTAATCACATGTTTTTTTTTAAAAATCACTATTTCAAAATACTTTTTCCCTAAAAATACATTATAATGAAGTTCGAACAAGCGCTAAATTTATATTTTTTTGTTTTGTTTTAAAAGTCTAAATTTAGCTAAATAAATATAATTCTTTTAAGTTTTTTTATAGGAGATTGTTCAGTTCGTTATTCAGATACGTAAATATATTATGTGATAAATTGTGTGCGCTCAAACTATTATGAGGAATAAATTTCAGTATTGCATTTCAAATTCTGGTTAAGATACTTCAATAATGGGGGATTATATATATATTTTTTGAGTCATGCTTCTTGTACAATTTTTTTTACAACATAATTTACAATTCATGAGTTGGCAAACATCACATTTATTTATGGATAGAGCCAAACAACCCGCGAGGATGGCCGCACCAATGACCACGTGCTCACATGGATGCGTGGATCGTACTTGAATTAAATAATGACCGACCTCCCATGTGTATGTATGCGGCCATCCCCAATATCAAACACAATGTTCTTGTAGCACCTTTATTCATTTATTTGAAAAACTATTTTTTAAATCAAAAGTTAGAATTTTTTTAACACACTTATTATCAATCAAGTTGTGTATAAATATTGTACAAGTGACTTTATTTGAGTCCAATTGTTAATGAATTACACAAATTTCTTGGTATACCCGCTACACAGTTCACAAACCGGATTCCGTGTTTTCATTTCTAGGGAACATTGTTGGTCCACCGCCGCATTGGTTTTTTAATTATTGATCATGTGGCAAAGACAATTTGATTGAATATTGGCTTTTGGACTTTGATCGGTTGGATACGTATTTCACTATCGACGAGGCCGGAGCAAAGTCATAAGTTTCAACTTTGTTAAAGTAATATATTTTTAAGTAGAAATTATTAAAATAGTCAATTTTTAATTTTGTATTTACAAAAATATCATTTTTTTAAAGTCTTTGCAAGATTATCAATTTTGGATATTTTGCCCCTCTAAGATAATTTAAATATCCTACATGTCTTTCATTAAAAACTGATTTGACTAGATGAAAGAATAGTACAACAAATTTTAAAACATCATATCAAACGCTTTCGCCTCACTACTTATATACATACACGCGCGCGCGCGCATATTCTCTAAAAAGGTAAAAATTCTCTCTTCTCTCTCTCATTCTCTAAATCTAAACGGCTTAGTTTCCTCTCTCATTTCCTCTCGCTCAAGGCCGCAGATGATGCTAAAACCCTTCATTTTCTGCAGGCTTGAAGTTAAATTACCGTTAATCAGTCTAGGGCCGACGAAGATCACCATTAATCTCTTGAGATTTTCTTTTTTATTTTCTTTTGCATTTATTGCTCTCTTCTATTCGAATTTTTAAAATTTTGGGGTATTTATTTTTTTATTCTTCACAATTTTTTACCTAGATTGGTACAATATGTCTCATTTTTTCAATTTTTATTGTTTATTTTTTAGTTTTATGAAAACGTTAACATTATGGTTTATGTAAATTATCTATGAATTTATTTCTTATAATTATGTTTTTCACTTTTCTTTCATGTAAATAATAGTTATTGGTCATTATTAGGCAAATTAAGTTTGGGTTTAATTTTTGTGTTTGTGAAATGAGCCAAGATTGAACTGGTTATATTCTTGTCAACGTGCATAAATAAACTCGATTAAATGTGTCTTTATATGATTATTCAGGGTTATTTGAATGTTATTTTAGTGTTGGATCATTCTATTTTTCATTTTTGAAAATGTCTTTGCATTTACATATAAAACTTATGGCTGAGTATATAAAAAAAATGGTGCTATTTGAAGCTATAAGTATAACACATATCATTTTTGTTATAACTTGACCATTCATGTCTTGAAAAACCAATATGAATGTGAAATGTAAATGTCAATTCTGATAGTAATGAAATCATCTATCGAGATGAACTATCGTTCTCAACAGTTAGGTTCTGAAATTCTCAACAGTTGACCCACTTATCTCTACAGTTGGTTACATAAGTCAAATTTTGCTAAGCTTCTCTTCTACGTGTAATTTTAGGGGTTGAAATGTATAACATATCATCTGAGTACCATTATTACTTCATGAAATATAAAAATAACAATTATGAGTTCATCTGTAGAGATAAATTATCATTCTAGATAAAGAAGTGATTGACCAAAAAGGTGTTTGCCTGGACTACCAAAGGGTCCATCGGCTAACTAGATAAATGAAGGGATTAGTATATATTATCACTTTAATAGCTAGATGATAGTTTCAAAAATTTCAAATAAATATGTTCATATTGTATTTAACATTTACAAAAGAAATGGCTATAAGAGTAAAATATAAATAATTTGTAATTGCTAACCTCTCAAAATGGATGAAAAATGCAATAGAAATGTCTTCTTGATCAATGAAAATGAGAACGATGGAGAAAAGTTAGGGTTTGTAGTTTATGTTTCATTTTTAGATTTCTTTTACTCCTTTTTACTAACAAAAATTCATATTAATCAATAAAATGCACATTTATTCGTGTTTTATATATAAAAATTAAATCATCACATCAAATCAATAATTTTCCTTCAAATCAAGTATTAAATACTATTAAAAATATGTCATTAAGGGTAATTTGGACTTTTTTATCTCTCCAAAAAGTGACATTTTTGCTCACATAAAGTGAAAATGACAAATTTTGTGGAACTTCCATTTTTCGTGACATTTTTGTAAATTTCCCTATTTTTAACCTGAAATAGTTGTTTTTTTATAGGTTACTTATTTTGTTAGTTATCTATTTGGTAAAAATTAAAATGCAAATTTTAATTTAAGCCAAAATCAACATCGAATTTTAACTACATATTTTATGGGACCACAATTTTTTAACCACATATTTCATTAACTTTTTCAAATTTACTAAAATTCAAATTTTAATCAGTGACACAATTTTAAGAAGACTTTTGGTCCTAATAAAATTTACTTTCACCACACTTGGTATTTAACGAGACATTCATCTGACGAGACGAGACAAGTCATAAGTTAGTAGGTCTTGAGTATTCATTTTTTACTAGACAACGATGGTATTAGCTGGATGGGCCAAATCAGATCGTGTCAATTAAAGGCTTCATAGATTTTTTGTAGGCTCGAGCTTAATTCAATGGTTCATCTTGACCGAAATGTCTGTTTCACCATATACTCATAATTCCACTAAGTAACATAAACCCGAACCATAACCCTCTTAATCTACTTCATTTTCTTCCTAACTCGATCATATTACGGCATTATTGTCCGAGTTCTCAGGCATTTAAATTTTAGCATTTGACTTGGCTGTCACGATGCAAATGGGTGCCGGGGCTTTTTTTACAGACAACTTTCGTGTCTTAGCAGTGTCCTAGTGTGCAGGTATGTATGCATGGACATTGGAGGTGAGAGAGATGTATTGACAGTTAAATCATTCAGATTTTGAGGTCAATTTAAAAAATAGAAAGTAACTTAAACATGGTTGAGTGACATTTCATAAAAGTTGAAGTAGTAATTTTACAAGAACGTACAAGCAATCTATTTAGTTCTCATAAAAAGAGACATGATATTAAAGAGACTACAAAATCAGAGTCATGTAATTACCTCGTATTTACTTGGAATAAATTCGTAAATTGTCCAGTGCTTTTGATGATCCTAACTTTATTGGACATTAGCTTTTTAATTATTTCCTTTGAGTTTGGCCAAAATTCATACCTTCGTTCACCCTTTAACTTTAGTAGCTAGCACTACACGAGTTCAGATTTTTCTAAAGTAAAATTTTAGGGTACAAAGATAAAAGAATGCATGAAAGTCATTGGGATGAGCAAAATAGAAAGAAGACATATTTATTGGATAACGTGAACTAATATGGTTTTTGGAGTTTTGAAGAACCGAAACTTTAGTTGAATAATGGTAGGACTAATACGCTTGTTAATTGACCTATAAAGTTAATGCGTAATGTTATTCGTGAGCAGTGCTTATCGATAAATAGTGATTAGATATTAAGATATGTCTCTTGCCAAGTTTTTCTATCAAGAACGTGAGGGGTTTAAGTGATAAAAAATGGAAATAAAACGGGGCAATATCTCTTGACCGAATATTAGTGGCGCAAAATGTATTTGGCCTAATTTTTGAATAACATCGTAAAATTGGTAATGACTATTATTTGCACAAAAAGGAGTGACCTATTAATCTAGAGTTTAGATTATTAAGGTTGAACTCCAACCTTGAGAGCCTCTATCGCCCCGCCCCTATAATTTTGTGAGGGAGGTAAATTGCGGGATGTGCCCCAACAGGCCAGGGAACAAGAGCTGTATGTACGCTGCGCCTAGAAGGAGTGCAATTCCATGTATCAGGAATCGAACCCTCACACTACGACTGCCACCAAGGCGTGAGATAACCTCACTCCTGTCCTTTGCACTACTAAACTATACCCCGAGGGGCCAGAGTTTAGATTATTAGTTATGCACTTGTTTGAGACCCTTTTCGTTTGTTTGTTTTTTTTTTTTTAAAGTGTTTTGAAATAGTAATTTTTTTTTTAAAAATGTGTGATTGAAAAAAAATTTTGATTTATGTAAAATATTATTTTATTGAAGAATATGTGATTGAAAGAAGAAAAAGAAAAATATATTTTGATAAAAATGAGGTTGAAACAAGGGCTAGTCTCTATGTGAATAATATTATATTATTATTTGAAAAATTGATAATAATCACCTTCCATTTTTTGTAATAATTGGATTTTTAGTTCACCATTTTAATCACTGCATTTATTAATGAAACTATTTTTGTTAAAACTACAACTTTATCTCATGTTTAAAGAAACTAAAAATAAATAAATAACAAAAAGAGAAAATAATACCATTAGAGATGACAACGGACGCAAGATGAGAATGAGATCGGCAAAACCATTATTATCTCTCACCCATCTAGGATTTTTGAGAGATGGGATGAGACAGGCGAGATAAAAAATTCGCATTTTCTGTCCTGTTATTTTATTTTTTTAATATTGTTTATATTTTCTGATTTACGATTTTAATTGAAACCTTTAAAAATACAAAATTAGATTCGGGTTTGAGAACACAAGGCGGTATCACATTCCTCATACCTGACACGCTTACTGTTACGCCCCTCACCAAACCACTTCGGCACGTCAGGTTCGCTACTCTACGAGGCGCCACGTGTTCTTACGAAATGGTTCCGAAGCGATGTCAACCTCGGCCGAACTCCAAACTTGACGTGTTGTAAGGCACAGACATCACAAAGTATTTACTGAAGCGATCGAAGTGTCCCCTGATACTGAAGCGTCTGAGGTGCTTCCTTAACAAGTTCCCTCGCCGCTGGTTTCAAAAATATATTTGTGTCAAGATCCTCTCCCCCATGGATTGATGTGACTTCTCCATGGGTTTAGCTGATGTGACATATCAACTTTATGTCAACTCAACTCAAAATAATTAATTACCCGCTCACTCTAGACGTGACTGATTGAAGCCTTACACGGTCAGATGCATACATGTGTATACACATCCAACGGTGCTCCTCGTCTATAAATACCAAGGTTTGGTAAGAGACATATGTAATAAAATATACACAAAACTTAACTACCCACACAAGTATAATTTTCTTCTACCTAATCTTGCACAATTTTGATACTATTCCGATCATCGCCCACTGACTTGATATCGGAGTGTATGCGGCCGCCACCACCCTCACTGGTTCTGACCTTATGCTTCTAATTGTGTGTTATTGTGAGCAGGAAGAAACACGTGGAGTGACTCTCAATTGACCACGTGGAGGTCTAATTCGCGAGGTCAACACTTACCTTTGGGGTCAATGGTGAAAATTTTTACCATCCTAAAATAATATAAATTTTTTTCTTTTTTCTAAAAGGGTGAAATTGACGCACAAAAATAAAATACGAGAATTAAACTTCAATTCCATAAAGAACTAAAAATTGAGGAAATAAATAAATTTTTAAAATAAATTTTTAATCAAAGGGCAGGTGAAATTGTCAGTTGGTACTCGATTGCTAAAAAGATAAAACATAAGGGACTGAATCGGTAAAAATAATAAGTTGATAACCTATTTGCCACATTTTAAATAAGTTGCGACCCATAGTAACTTTTTATCGGCCAAACAACGATTATCAATTAAAATATGCATTTACATGGAATTTTAGTTCTCCCCGGAGAAATCAGACAGAGGAAGAGCGCCGTCGAAGAACATTGCAGCGATGGGTTCAACGGCCGCCCTTAAAGAACTACAGAGAGACCTTGAGAACAAAGCCAACGATCTCAGCAAACTCCAAAAAGGCATATTTTCCGTCACTCGCCCTCCCACTCAATAAACCCTAAAACGCACTGTGTGTGTGTGTGTGTTTTTTTATTTTTTTTTTATGTTTATAATATGTATCTATGTTAGATTATATGTATTTATGTGAACGAAATGTTGGTATACTAATTGAGCAGATATTGCGAAGAATCACCAAGTCCGAAAGAAGTACACTATTCAGCTCGGAGAAAACGAGCTCGTGCTAAAGGTCCTTCCTTTCCCCTCTTTCTGTATATGTGATCTTGATCTTGATTTTGATTTTTTTTGGTTTAATATGTTTAATTTGTATCTATGGGACTCGTGTTTGAAGGAATTGGATCTGTTGAATGAGGATGCGAATGTTTACAAGTTAATCGGGCCAGTGCTAGTGAAACAGGACTTGGCCGAAGCAAATGCCAATGTTCGCAAGCGAATAGATTACATCTCTGCCGAATTGTAAGTTATTTTTACTTAATTAATTCGAGCGCTGTCTACTTGTGTCTTTTTATTTTTAATCTGTGCTAGACTTGGCATTGCACTATTTCTAATCTATTTACTCTGATTGATTCATATCTGAAACACGTTTTGTATTTTGTGGAATATGCCTGCGCTGGGTAACACAGGATAAATGATATTTTATTGAATTAAAATAGTTGCAAGTATTATTTATTTCATGCTGTTTATATATAGCTCGTTATTGGAACTGATATCAAATCATTCGGATGTGAAACCATAATTTTCTCGAAGTTTAATTTTGAAATCCTAATCTCGTGTGGCAAGCATTGGGTGGGAAATTGGTGTCATCATGGTCCAATAACATTTGTTGCTCCATTAGTTTTTTTAAGAAACCAAATGATGCTGTTCTTATCTACTTGGATCTTTAAACTTTCAGGATGATTGGAGAAAATCTGATTATTTATTGAAATCATTTGATGTAGATAAACATAGACATCTTAACTCTGTGTTAAGATATTTTCATTTCTATTATTAATTCATTTTATATGATGTTAATATCAACTCTTTGAGACACACAACACAGAAAATCCAAAACTGAACCAGAAATGTTAATATCAACTCTTTGAGACACACAACACAGAAAATCCAAAACTGAACCAGAAATGTTAATATCAACTCTCAATGTGGTGAATTCAATACATGATTATAGCCATGTACTTTTGGATGGATTTGCATGGTAAATGGAGGAAGATGAGAACTACTGTATTAGAGTAGTAGCAAGCAGTCTGTAATCAATTCTATAAATTATACAGCTATATTCAGAATATTTTCCTTCTGCAATCTGAAGGGAGCTTCTGAAACTCCTGCCCCCTCTCTGATAAATAGTTGCAGAGGGTAGAAGAGGGTTGCATATGTGCAAGCTTCTCCCTAATCTTATAGAGGTCTTCAAAATTTTGAGGATATTTGAAGAAGATGAGAAGGTTGCCAAGATTTGCTACTCTATTTCGTAGATAACAAGTGGTTTGCTAACACCAGAAAATTTACTTTGTTTTGTTTGTCAGTTTGTTTGTTCTGTTATCTCTTATAATGTGCTTCGAGTGAAAATATATTTATGAATACGTACATAGGAAGCCTCATTTTATAGTGCCTATCCAAATGCAATATCTTTTGCAATTCGAGGCGGCAGACGTGGTGGAACAAAATATGTAGCACCTGGAGATTGTAATTAGAATTACCACTTACGAAATAAATTCCAACCTCCAACTCCAAGTTCCTGAGATAAGTTTGAGTTGGCTATGGTTTGTCAAAAGATTCTAGCAGTTCTCTCCATCCAAGTGCACTAGATATTTTTTTGGGGGGAACTGGAAATACATAGATCCTCTGTTTAATCATCCTTTGATCAGGTACATAAGCACTTCAGCATGTGGGAAGCGAAGGGTAGAGAAAGTACTGGACTGATAACCAGTTGTTTGACCCCGATGACTGCCGTAATTGTGCCTTTTGATCAAGTTTTTTTGCAGGTTGTATTGAAACCAATATAACACCACCACACCTGACACATAAATGTTGAACTGTATGCCTCGCAATCTGATTATCTTCTTATACGTTAACATCAATCCCCACAGTCGCAACAATCTCTTCAACATTGTGAAGAATCATATTCAAATGCTTATCTTATCATGGGGTTGGTCAATGCTATGTCTAAACAGTTTCAATGGGTCTAACTGTGCTCTTTTTTCACTTCCCCTTACAGTTTTCTCGTACTATTTCCCCTTCCTCTCCCGGTCAGTGCCATGTAATTCTCAGCGAAGCACATTACCAATTAGTCTTTTGTCTTTGCTTAATGTGAGATGGGGAAAGCTTCCTTCCCTGTCATTACTGGCAAACTTTATGAGAACTTTTCGTGAGACGGCTCTTGTTGCTCTCGAAGTAGTTTTGTAAAAAATTCGACCTCTTTGCTAATTCCATTATATCATATGTATTCTCATTGGACAATTGATACCATAATTCAACTTAAGACTCTTAACAATCATGTTACTTGTATTATTATTATTATTATTATTATTATTATTATTATTATTATTATTATTATTATTATTATTATTATTATTATTATTATTATTATTATTA